TGTTTTGGTTTTTTTCAGTTTTAGCTACACAAAGAATTACCTGTAAAGACTACAAAGACTTTTTCTATAATGATTTGAGGTGCACTCTAAGTAGGTTCAAGTGTATGTTTACTACCTTATTATTGTTTGTTACCTTTGTCTCCACAGTTGAGTGTTCATCTGTTGTTATGCCACATTTACCCTAAGTATGCTAAAACCTCTACATTAGTTGAACCATAAATTAACTGAGTTAATGTAGTGGAGAAAAACACATGATCTGCAAAAAAGAACTGTGGATGGACATGAGGGCACCATTAGAAGTCAGCTCCCAAACAGCACCAACTAGACCTAAATCTTCACTGAAAAATGTTTTTATAAATGTGGTTTGTTTGTTTGGTTTGGTTTTTTGTTCGTTTTTTTTTTTTGTTTGTTTGTTTGTTTTGTTGTTGTTGTTTGTTTGTTTTGGTGTTTGTTTTTTGTTTGGTTTTGGTTTTGTTTTTTTGAGATTTTTTTGTTTTGTTTTGTTTTGTTTTTTGAAACTCCAGTTAAGAGTGCTGCAATATTTTTGCACAGGCTTGGCTGGTGCTTAATCTCTGCTAATATTAAGGCAGAAGCTGAAGCTCACTGGTACTTCTTTCAATGTAGTGAGTAGGCATTTCTATTATCTTTATAAAAAACAATTCAAGCACTTGAAGATTGCATTCCTTCAGTCTGTTCTTTCTCTTGAAAAAGACCACTGTATTCTCTCAACCTTCCATCACAGAAAAAAATAGCAGCTGGTCACAGCAGTCCTGGTGATCTTGCAAATAGTAATCAGCACTTTTATTGGATCTATCTGGTCTTTACTGACTCAGAAAGTCTCTGTGCTGTTGAAAATGTTCCAGCTTCATGCATAACACTGATAACTTACAGTCACACCACATTGAGACAAACATACCTACAAATGTTTATGTCATAAGCAAGAAGAGAACAAGGTTTTTAAATGCATGTCATATTTGGGATATGCTCCTATAAGTGATTCACAAAGTTAAGTTGTCTAATCCTGTTTTTGCCCCCTCCCTATTACAAAACATCAGATATTAAGGGAGAAATTGCAATGCCTTAAAATCCAAGAACCTTCAAAACTTAGGGAATATCTGCAAATTCTGAGGTTATTCTGATCAACTCACAAGTATAAGGGCCTAAACCCACACTAGTTTTGTTATTGCATTTCTCAGCTTTCTGTAATTTTTGTAGAGAAGAAAATTTCTTCAGTTTTAGAGGAAGTGAATGTTTTTGCTGCTTTGAGAATTCACTTGTGCAGCTGAACATTGAAACAACAAGCAGCAACTGACAGGAAGAAAAAATGTCTGCCATCATTGCTTTCAGGATTTTGTTGCAGGGGAAGGAAAGGTTCCCTAAGTTTCTAAGCAAGTTAGAGAAAGCAATTGGATTTTAAAAAATTACCTGTATGAGATGATCACAATTACAGTCTGAAAGGCACAGAAGTCTTGAAATGCCCTTTTGCCATTCAGTGCTTCTAATGATTGAGGGTGATAAATCCATACTTATTTGCATTTACATAAGAAAATGGACATTGGCTTCCAGTAGCTTAATTACTAATCCAACCTTTATGCTTTTTTATGTCTCAAAATTATGGGAAAAGGCAAATATTCACCCCTGACATAGGACAGCAATTAGTTTTATTCAGGCTGATCATATTAGCTAGAGTGTTTTCTTATACACAAGGAAAAACTAAACTTCAGATAAGCTTCTAGGCTGGGTTTAATAACTACATCATCTCAGCATAGAGGCTATCTTGCTTTGTCTGCTCAATCATTTAAAAGTACCCACAAAGGCAAACTGACCTTTCTTTTCATAAGTAGAAATTTAATATCAATATGCTAGAATTAAAGCCAACTTCTTTCTTTTTAATCTTAGGCTATTCTTTGGCAGAGATGGGGAAATATAGAGAGAGAACATCTGAAATCTAACAAACACCTGTTAATGAAGGGAAATTAAGGCTCCTTTCAGATAACTGCACAACAGAAATCATGGAGTTCACACCATGAGAAGGAGATGCACAGAATTTTGTATTACTACAGGAAATATCACTTTGTGTTCTAGACAGAGACATCAAATTGTATATACTCTACAATGAGAAACATTGGAGGGAGGAAAAATTGTAGCTTCCCATGTATTATTATTGTCCTTTCCACTCATGACGAAAATGTGGCTGATATTGTAAAGTAACTTCACAGTAGTGTAAAGATTAAGAGCTGAGTTTGTAAGTAAATAGGGCTGATTCCTCCATTTCTAATTTACAGAGGACCCCAGAAGAAAAATCCCATGTCTCAGTCCTTTCTGTGCTCACAGGCTTCTGTCCAGCATCAGGATTTAATGCTTTGAGCTCATCCTTAATTCAAACTCTGCCAGTGACAGTTTGTGAGCTCAACATATGCCCAGTTTCCTGATATAAAAAACAAGCCCTTGATTTCTTCTAAACTCTTTATACACTCTCAGAGCAGGCAGAAAAGTTTATCCTAACAATGTGGACCCCTTAGCACACCTGTGCTCCATAGGGCAGGAGTTCCTGAAGCAAAGGATCAATTTTAGTGCAGTTTTGTAGAAAGGAATGAGCAAATCTTAAGTAGTTTCCTTCTGCTGCCATAAGGTGGGAGGAAATTTGCCCCAACAGGAACCTCCTGCCAATAATGTTATACCTTCTCCTTTTTCTTCACATTAAAGCCTTATCTAAGGGCTTCACCTGAGATGGGAACCCCTGTGTAGAAACTGCACAAATAGAACAGATGAACAAAGCTCTCCTGCTGATAGAGACGGCAGCACAGGAACACGACTTCTGCATGTAATGAAACCCACATTGGCCTGGGGTCATGATAATCTCAGGCTTAGCTGTCACCTTCTATACACCCTGAAAATTCACTCTTGCAAAGGAAAAATCGCTTCCCCAAGACCCTATAACAGATTTTATAAAAATAGCAGGACCATGACATTAACTTTACAGACAGGAAATTGGAACACAGAGATTTATTAATTTGTAGAATGCCTGTACAATGAGTGCATGGCACAGCACCATAATTCTTGGAGCTATTTTACAACAGTAAATAAAATAGCACTAAGTGCATTCTCCGGCCCCATGGTAGAAAGCACAGAAAAGTTTAATGGTGGCTGAACTCTCTTCTCCCATAGAACATGGCCCAAAACTGAAGCCCAGGATTTGAGGTGCAGCTCACCAGTGCCCAGCACAGGGAGACAATCACTGCCCTGGTCCTGCTGGCCATGCTGTTGCTGATGAAGGCATGGGAGCATTGGCCTTGTTGGCCATCTGGGCACATTTTGGATGATGTTCAGCCACTGTCACCAGCACCTTTGTGTCCTTTTCTGTCATGCAGCTCTCCAGCCACTCAGCCCATGGTCTGGAGTTCTGCAGGAGGTTGTTGTGGCCAAAATGCAGACCCAGCACCTGCCTTTGTTGAACCTCAGACCTTTGGCCTTCATCCATGCATCCATCCATCCATCCCGTCCAGATTTCCTGCAGAACCTTCCTGCCCTCCAGCAGATCAACACTCCCACCCAGCTTGGTGTCATCTCCAGACTGACTGAGGGTACCTCCCTCCCCTCAACCAGATTATCAACAAAGAGGTTAAACAGAACTGGCCCCAGAAGTGTTCCCCTGGAGAACACCAGTTGTGACACTCCACCAGCTGGATGTGGCTCCATTCCCCAATGCAGGGCCTGGCTATCCAGCCCATTTTTCACCCAGCAAACTGTGAACCCATCCAAGCATGAGCAGCCAGTTTTTCCAGGAGAACATGGTGGGAAAGGCTTTTCTAAAGTCTAAGCAGACCAGATCCACAACTTTTCCCTCACTTCACCATGTGAGGCACCTTGTCATAGAAGACTGGGGTGACCAGCAGGACCTGTCTTTCCCAAGCCCATGCTGGGTTTGTCCTGTACCTACAATGTGATCTGATCTGTCCTGTACTCAAGGTGATCTGATCCATGGCCTCCCCTGGGAGCAGCCTTTAAGATTTCCCTCTTGAAGAATGTCCAGCCAATCTGGACTCCTTTGCCCTCCAGGAATGTCTCAGCAGGGATTCTCCGTCCCAAGGGATTCTCTCAACCAATCTTCTAACCAGGTCAAGCACTGCCCTGTGGAAATCTGAGGCAAAAGTTCTGCTGGCAGATCTCCTTATGTCTCCAGAAATCCCAAACTCTTATAATTTTGTGATTGCTGCGCCCCAAGAGGGCCTCTGACCATCATATCACCCACAAGTCCTTCTCCGGTTGAAAACAGCAAGTTCCACACATTCCAGGAACCTCCCAGACTATTTCGTCTCTGCTGGGTTGCATTTCCAGCAGACATCTGGAGTTAGGAGTTCCCCATGGGAACAACAAAATATTTAAGTGACATCCTACGTGTGTCCTCTCCATTTTTTATCCAGTATCATGTTGTACTGCCAGACTAGGAAAATTTAATTTGAATCTTAACTCTCATTTAGTCAAATTTCTTGTCTGAGGAATGTAGCAAATCTTGGAAGGGGTACTTGGACATTCAAACCCCACAGTATTGTCATGAAGTCTTAGCTGGCAAAACATGAAGCTAATGAATTGATTAATGCTGTTATCAGAGTAGGCTTACCCTTAGAAAATTCAACAGATCAGGGCACTAATTTTATGTCTTCTCTGCTAAATGAGGTGTGCAAGCTGTTAAAAATTCCCCCATCACGCAGAGTTTCGTATCAGCCAGAAACAGATGGGCTTGTAGAATAATCAAACATTTAAGCAGATGCTAAGAAAATTCATCAGCAGTGAACCAAAACATTGGGATAAATTGTTACCTTTTGTTTAGTTTGTCTATTGGGAGGCCTCTTAATCATCAATTGGTTGTTCCCCATACCTTTCCAAAAATACTCAAGAGGCAGCCGCTCTGAATTTGTGTTGTTTGCAAATTATCCGACATTTGGCAGCCTCACATTTTCACCCAGATAACATCCTTCATAATTATACTGTTCAAATATGTAAATTAAGGTCCTGATCCTGCAGATAGATCGACAGGAGTGGAAGGATATAACATGCACATGAATGACAGCAATAGTTCCAAACTGGCAATCTTTATGAAATATTGATGCTGTAGACGGATGAGGCTGCACAAGTCTCAAAACAAAAGCAGTGACATTGAAACAAAGGTGATTATTAGTCTCGTTTATGCTCCTCTCAATCAACAACAGATTCCCTGCAAAAATATAGAGAATTGTTAGGGCAGGGAGCACACAAATTTACACTTATTGCTGTATCATGTGTGTTCATTTCCCAGATCTGAAAATCTTTCAGCAGATCTGGGATAACTCATTCATGGTTAACAGACAAGACATTTTTATGTTCAAGGTTGCTGGTTTAGGGTTTGGCATATGGGCTTGAGCTGACCTCAGAGTGACACAGTCAGACTGCATCTGGTCCTGGAAACATAAATTTTCATGACATTATTTCTGGTGGCTTAGGTTCTTTCTCATGCTGCTGGGTAGGAGAATGTCATTCCACTGAGCTATATCAAGCAGAAAAGCAGCTCTACTGTATTTTGGATGGCTAACAAGACATGAAATACAGCTAAATCTTTCAATGGAGCTATTTAATTTTCAGTAATATACTATATTTTACTACTCAGGAAGCTACCCAGCCACTGTGAGAAAGTTTAGCTGATGATTAAAATGTCTGTAGAAATACCAATGGAACAGTGTCAAGTGAAAAACATATATATATATACACACACACACACATGCATATGGTCTCTAAAGGACCCAGTTCTGTTGAAAATTATAGAAATGTAAAAACCTGTAAAATTTGGCTCTGTGAATTCTCCAAGAATGTATTAAATTAGATCAATGTAATGTATAGTTCAAATTATACTTTGCCTGCTAAAGATTGTTGGCAAAGCTCATAAAAATTTTGGTAACCATCAAGATAGCATAAGATTTTGTGACTAAAAGAAGAAAATTTGTTCTATATTGTTCTAGAAAAAACCTTTCAATTTTCACTTTACCCAAAAAGAAATCCTGCCAACTTTTTCCTTTTACAAACATCACTTTTTTTTTTTTTGTTAGAATTTACATTTAATTATCTTCCAAAACATTGTAGAGAAATTAGAAGAAACAAGAACTTCCTTTCAGTTTTATTGTGGTAAAATGTTGCAAGAGACAGGGAAGAAAACAGAGGAAAATAAAGCTTAATAGCTGCTTATTCAGCAAATATTCATGAATCATTCACAGATACTTTGGTTTATCATGAAATTGTAGTTATTGGCACACAGGTAAAAATAAATGAAAACTAAAAGCAAAGCAAATCAAGGAAGTCAAGGAAGATCAGGTCATCAGGATAATAAATCTGGTTTAATAAATAAATAATAAATAAATAAATAAATCTGATAATAAATCTGAAGACAAGTTTTGAAAGGAGATTTGGCACCTTTCAAGGCACATTGGTAATGACAGAGTAAAAAAAGAAAAGAATAATTAAATTTTAGATAGCTTTCAGAAAATGTAAAACCCATCATCTTTCAGTTTCAACTATTTTCTCCCCCTCCTATATTTTTATTCTGTGGAAGTATGCTGTATTGGGAATATCTATTTTCTCCCACTCATTTTTCTCTATGTTTCCTTACTTTCGGTTTTCCTGTCCTGAGTATTTTCTGATGTTAAATATTTGAACTCACTTTAAAATGTCACAGGAAGTGGTGTTTTTTTTTATTTTTATTTTTTTCTGTTTTCATTCTCTTCTTGTTTCATTTGATTACTTAGTTTTATCAGGTTAGATAGAAATTTTTTGGGTGGGGGGGCAGGGAATAGTCAAAAAGGAAAAGTGATAGAGAAAAAATAGAAAAAAAAAATTAAAGTTGTATGTAACAGAATGGATCTGTTGTGCAACATCTCTTCTGCAATGTCCAGGGAAACTGGCTGTGAAAATGGCTGTGTTCAGTCTGTCTCTTTTCCTAACTGCATAATTTAGAAAATTTTAAAGAAATGCAGTAAAAAATTCTCTTCACCAGATAAATTTAGTCCTTTCCACTGTGTGAAAATTACTTGCCATATAGGTCAATTATTTTCAATTGTTTGGCTGCAGTGATTTAGCTGAACTAAATCTTGACCATGCAGAAGAGCAATGCCTTGACTGTCTTTCTGCCATCAGAATTGTTTGGTCCTGGGTGGTTTTACCCATTTTATACAAAAATATACTTGTATTACAAGTTTGTGTTTAAGGAACCCTGCCCACCAGTATTCAACTGGCAAAGAACTAAAAGCACAGGAAATATCCTTTTTATAACAATGCTCAGTCCAACACAGGGAATGAGAAATGAGACCTAAGCTGCACTTCTTGCCAGCTTCCAAACCCTCATCACCCAGGGCTAATCCAGCTAATTCCATGTGGCATAAATTAAGGCACAGGAAAATAGGTAGTTGTAAACTCCATCCTTCCATCCATCCATCCCTGTCTCACTGCCCTCTTACGTTGTGATTGGATCATGAGGGAGGCAGTTTTTCATACTGACACCTGAATTTTTAGCTTTCATATTTTTCCATACTGCATTAGTACATAACTCTTAACTTCATATAAAGTGTTAGTAAGTTCTCCTCACAGTCTTGTCAGACAAAATAATTCTTTTCCAGCCCCAGAACCAAGGACACTATTGCATCAGGCCCAAAAGGTATAAACAATGGTGAACTGGGGAGAGCAATCTGGGAGGGTATGACTTCAAAACATGAAGCTGTATTTGGATAATGAACCCAAATATTTAAATGGACCAAAAGATAGAAAAGTGTGAAAACTCATGGCTCTGAGTCCGTCTTCAGTGTAGCCTTGGCCTGGCTCTTGTACTGCCCAAGATGCATCCTTTGAAGGCCTTTTTAATAAATGCCTCCTTTATTCCTTTAACACTCTCTAGCCACTGCTCTAGATAGCCTTTCAGACATCAATATACCTTTTAAAATGGGATTATATTCTGTGTTAAATTTTCAGGGAGAGATCAGAACTGCTCCCTGGGTGTGAGCTGGAGATGAAAACCAGACACTTTCAATCCATAAGTTGTTTGCACTCTTAAACAGTGAGGAAAAATAACCACAATGAGCACAACTTAGCTAAGGGTCAGGATAGCTTCTCTATTGTCCATCATTGCCACATAAGTGTTTTACTAAATTAAATTCTAGAAATTCTTGTTGAAAGACTGTTTTTTAATTCTCTACAGGGAATTCTGTGGCCAGTGCTATGCAGCAGCTGAGAGGGTGAACAAGGGCAGGAGTCCCTTACATCACCCTGTTCAGTTCATCCAGGAACCCATCAATTATCAGACCCATTGAAAAGGTTGCATTTTTAGGTAACTCAAGCCACACTTTTTTTTTTTTTTTTTTTTTTAATTTTCACCCCTTTTCCCTTTTTCCTCTTTTTAAATGGGATTATATTCTGTGTTAAATTTTCAGGGAGAGATCAGAACTGCTCCCTGGGTGTGAGCTGGAGATGAAAACCAGACACTTTCAATCCATAAGTTGTTTGCACTCTTAAACAGTGAGGGAAAAATAACCACAATGAGCACAACTTAGCTCAGGGTCAGAATAGCTTCTCTATTGTCCTCCATCATTGCCGCATAAGTGTTTTACTAAATTAAATTCTAGAAATTCTTGTTGAAAGACTGTTTTTTAATTCTCTACAGGGAATTCTGTGGCCAGTGCTATGCAGCAGCTGAGAGGGTGAACAAGGGCAGGAGTCCCTTACATCACCCTGTTCAGTTCATCCAGGAACCCATCAATTATCAGACCCATTGAAAAGGCTGCATTTTTAGGTAAGTCAAGCCACACTTTTTTTTTTTTTTTTTTTTTAAATGTTCAACCCATTTACCTCTTTCCTCCTTTTATGAGTTAATGCTGTGTTCATCCGAGCAGGGTTTGTTACTCTTCTCCATGCCATATTCCTGTTCCCCTAAGTGGCTCTTGCCTTCATGCTGGATAATCCATTTGGACTTCTCAGGCATTGTACTTTCATAATGGTTGGCTTTTAAAACATACAACTCAGTAAGTAAAAGACAAAACAAGAAAAAAACTGGGGTACTTGACTCTTTGCTTTAATGGCACATTAGAAATTTTAATTTTAAATTCCTGGGAAAGTTATCTTTGTTGTTTAGCTTAAGTGTTCCTTCCAGATTAATATCTAATTTAAGAGCAGCTATCATTTTCCCTTTGTTGAATTTTTCTTAATAATAACAGCCTTCAAAGTAGCTAAAAATATCCTTGTTATACAGAGCAATAAATGTTTGCAGATATGAATCCCATTATAGTTTATAGTGATTAGAACATAAAATAGGACTTGGTATTTGGTCTTTGAGAGTTCTGCTGCAATTTGAAGCAGACAGACCTAAGAGCAAATAGTTGCATTTATGTCCTTTTTACCTCAGGGCTTCAAACTATGATGGGGATAACCATCATTTTTTCAAAAGGATACTTAGAAGATATCTATTAGATATAGATATCTTCTATCATTAGAAGATATCTAATGAGATATATTCTGACCAATGCAGTAGCAAAGAAGAGGCTGAGATAGTGAATGCTGATGTGTTTCCAGAGAAGAGAAAACTGAGGACATCTGTCTTTCACAGGGTAACTATTTTTTTTCCCCTGCAACAGCATAAACACAAAAATATTAAATGTATTGCTTAAATTATAAAGACTGCAAGATGCACCAGACTGATAAATCAGATTTCTTGGTTTATATTTTGGTTTTGTGTGATTTGTTGTTGTTTTTTTTGGGTTTTTTTAATTTTTTTTTGTTGGTTTTTGCTTTTGTTGTTTTGGATTCTTTTATGGAAAAAATCCTTATACATACCTCAAAGAAGAGCCCAAAGGATCTGTGTCAGCTGTGATCTCAGGAGTGCCCTAAGCACACCCATCAATCTGTGTCTACCCCAGGCTGCAATCAGCTATAAAATACACTGTACAGGGAAGATCTTTCTCTCACTAAGCCATTCTTAAACACTCCCACAGAAGCATAATCAAAAGCTAACACAGCTTTCCTCCTCATATGTTCCAAGATATAAAGTGATTTCATTATTCATCTATGCAACTTTTACTTTGTACTGAAATGGAGTAGAACACCTTGCACAGACAGACAATTAAATGTGATTATCCTGAAATTCTTGATTAATGCCTTTCAGATTTTTCATGTGACTGCGACTGTGGAAATTTATATCTTGGTTAACATGTCCATTTTTAACATCTATTTAGTATTTGGTGGAACAAACCATAATTTCAGGCAGAGAGGTTCAGTTGTTTTGCCAAGTGGATGCATCTGAACTTGTCGGTCCTTTTCCGCAATGTAGTGTTAAGTGGCTATGGGCTGTATGAGGAGGAATAAAAAGAAGAAAAAAAAAACCCAACAACAAAAATAAACTCTTTGCTAGCTGCAGAGTCACCACATGAAGCAGCTTCTTGTGCTGAGGGCTCCATGCCATAAATCCAACTCACTGGAAGGAGGTGGGAGTTCTTCAGGCACTGCCAGACAGCGTTGGCGTGGCCCCAAAACCCCACACTTGTGGTGCTTAAAAATACTTTGAACTGGGAGAGGATTGTGGCAGGAGCTTTTTTAGGCTCAGTCCAACCAACTCAAGCTGTGATAAGGGAGTCAGTTATTTCCTTCATCCAAATGCATGTGCTCAGGATAAAGAGGGAAGCACACAATCGTGGGATGGCAAAGTGGGAAAGTTTTAATTCCCCAGGAAACTTCACAGTGTCTCACAGAGAGCTCCAGTCAATGCTGGCACTTACCTGTGACTTTCCACCTGTGTTTATTGTTACATAAAATTAATATAAACATTTTAATACAAAGCTCAAACAAAGTTATTGACCATTTAAATATAAATAAGTTAAACCAAAGGGAATGAGTTTGAATAGGTTGGTTTGTTTGTATTTTTTTAATGAAGCCAACATGGATTTGAAATAATTTACAGTAATGCTTAATTTCTTTAAAAAGCATGTTATAATAAAAAATTTCAATCTCAATGAAATTTCTTTTTCCAAAAGATAACTGTACCTAAAGGAAAGCAAACAACTTACCATCTAAAATATGAGCATTTGTGGCATTTAGAGACATGGTTTTTTTTAGTGAACATCGCAGTTCTGGTTTAATGGATGGGTTCAATGATTTAAAAGATCTTTTTAGCCTTAAAGATTCTCTGGCTTTATATCTTTGACGAAGCAAGATACTGCAATGAGAGAACACAGAGTAATACACTTTATTTCTTCCTGTGCTCTCAGAAATTTGTTAATGTTCTTCCTCTCAGTTTTCTCAAGGACTATAAAACCACATTGACAGTGTCAATTTATTTTAATGGACATCACTCAGAACAAAACTGGCCCAAGTTCTCTGGCTATTGCTTATCAATGCATTCAAAACCACTGGAGGAAATGGCCTCTGTAAGGAAAAGTAAAAATCCCCATTCACTTTAGAGTCTCTGTTCATCATGACAGTGAGAAAAATAGCTACAATATCAGCTTTCAAGATGCAGCCATTAGAAACAGGTAAACTGCATTTTGATTGGTGGATTTCTTTTAGGGTAACTGGTCAAGAAACCAAAATCCTAAAAGATGAAGCAGGTTTTTCATGTACCACTTTTGGCTGCAGAACATCAACATCTGGAAAGTTTTATATGGAGCTTGCGGGAATTTTTTTCTCTCAGGAGGTCCTGTTGCAACTAATCTGGAATCTGGTTTAGCAAACAGTCTGAGTTATTTTTAAAATACAAGTATTTCATGACAGTTGTCTTTGTTGGTTTTTTGGTTTTTGAGTTTCGCTAGTTTGAGGTGGTTTTTTTTTGGGTGGGGGCGTATTTATTTCTGATAAACTTTGATCCAAGCAATTGCAGCAGATTGTGATCGATATGCAGAGTTATTATTAGAACTGCAGTTGTTGCTACCAGGTCATATCTTCTACACAAAAATCCTGTTAAATTTTAGTGCAATAGTATGCCAGATTTTTTGGTAAGGTAGATTCACGCTTTCCCAATAGAAGCAAATTATTTTTACTATAAACTAATCATAATATATATATAATATAAATATAATCACAGTTCAAGTATGAGATGCATTGAGAAATTTTAGGATGCATCACTGTGGTTCTCTCTATCAGATCCACTGTGGGAAAGGCTATGTGGAGGCAGATAAATCAAGGAAGAAGTAGAGTTTTTATTATAAATCTTATAAATGTCTGTCTTTTACCACTTCATTGACATGTTGAAGGGAAAATCTGCAGAAACTGAGTTTAACAATATTTCAGTATATGATGCTGGCTCATTTACACCCTGCCATGATCAATACTGACGATTTAGAAGTTCAGGGTGTCAGAAAAACTCCAAGTTGAATCTATACACCCTTGCTTACTGGCTCACAAACAAAAGCCTATTGTTAAATCCAGAAATAACATTATTGCCAAAAGTGAAAATGAATAATCTGAGCTGGAGAAGACAAAGAATTCTGAAAGTTAAAGTTCCTATGGCAACACTGACTTGGACAACCTGCCACAAAAATGAATTTTTTCCCTGTTCTTTTATGGTAGGAGGTGCAGTTAGGGAGAACACTGCTGGAATAAACATGGTCAAACACCCACAGCCATTCCGATTAAGTAGGTTTTGATATCAAACAAGCCTGTCAGGCCCAGGTTTGTAAATATGTTCAGAGAAAATGTGAATACAAAGCAGAGAGTTAAGTACTAATGTACAGATTCTGTGTGCTAGCCTCTCATGGAGTAAAAATCTGTTTATACACACACCCCATCCAGCTCAATACATTTACTTACCATCCACTTCCTACACTGATTTTTTTTCAATTTAAGAGACACTTTTGCAATCAGATATAGAGTTTGCTCTGTTCTTTTAGTCTCATTTACTGCATTTCTCAGGATAATTGTTTCCTGGATATCAGTACTGATAAAGTATTTGAGAGGAGTTCACCTGCTTGTAATTAATTACTTCCTGTATCTGAGATGTGTTGCAGTGTAAACCAAGAATAAAAGCCTCTTTACCAGGTATTTTAATCAAGATCTTGCAGTATTGATTTGTCTCCAGCAAGAAAACCATCTCCATGATCCCAGAGTTCTGCTAAGGTTCTTGGAGAGAATCCAGTATGCTCAGTGTAAGACAGGCATGGGAAATATTTAATAAGTGTGATAAAAAGCATCTGAATGACAAATATTTTACAACTGTAATTTTGAGGCACACAGTATAAGTCTTGTCACCTGTACACCTCTGCTGAAATCTTCTCTCAGGATTTTCTTTGTGCATGTCACCGAGACAGTTACAGAATTATAATTTTAAAACTTCTTCCATTCAAATTGCATGGTTCATAACAAATATCTGAAAGCCTGCAGGATCTGAAAACCTCCTCATTTGCCAGCATGCTTTGTATCCCAGGATGCTCTAATTCTATAAAATTTGGGGAATACTTACACCTTAAATTTTAAGATGAAACCTCACAGCCCCTATGAGATCTTCATACCAAGCCACAGATTGATACTAATTCACACAAGCTTTGCCCATTTTAACTGACTCATTATGATGTACATCCAAATCTTCATATTTTAAGATCCCTTTTCCAAAGGCACCTTTTCTCCCAGAGCCAATAGTCTCCACTTAAACTGTTAAAACAGCAGGACATTGTTTCCCAGTAGAAAATCATCTCTGCAGGATTTTATCACAATTCTTTAGTTTGAGATTAGTGTGAAACTGCATAATCCAACAGGAAAATGAGTTGTGAAACATCCTACCTGGGATTGTTGCACCTTCTCCAAAGGATTATTTCTGCAGGATTAAACTAAGGCTGCTGAAGTACAAGCAGGACTGAAGCTTGAGTTCTTGTGTCAGCTGAGGACCTGGCTCCTTTCCCTGAAGTTTTCACTCTCCTTCCCAGAAGTGTCAGCTGAAATGAAATGACAATTCCAAGGGCACCTTTGACTTTTCAGCAAATAAGCTAAAGCCCAGAACTGTAACTCCTGCCAGTGACTATCAAGAAGGGGAACTTGGTTTTCTTGTGTTTCAGCAAGTCCTGAGATCTATGGGCAGCTGACCTTCAGCGTTCCTGCATGGATGGAAGATCTATATTTACCTCTATGGTATTTCTGGATGTGAGAGAGTCAGTTTAGGAGCAAACAAACCTTCCTTCACTTCTTGTCTGTATTGGCCCTTGTGGTCTCTTCTAGAGCAGATCTCATGGCTTTTGCCCGGACAGGGGAAAATATTAAAATTTTACAAGTGGAATGCATTTGAGAGTGTCCTCAGAACTGTGTGCATATTATCTCAACATAACCTATCTTTTGCAGACAGAGAGTTCTTTCTTGATGGGCCACAAAAGTAACCCTGACACAAGCACACAGGGTTTGTGGACAGATGGAACTCAAGCAGTTTAAGCTGTGTGTGGAGACAGGCTTGGACATACAGGGCTATGAAGTTTTCTCAGAACCAAGCTACACCACAAACACTGCTTCCAAAACATCACTTCAGGCAAGAAAAGTAAGTTCTATACCTGTTTTCGAATGTCTTTCTTGCATAGAAGAAGAGTTAATTACCCTTGCTCTGAAGGATTACAGTCTGTGAGGCAAAGTTTAAAGAGACAATCCTTAAAAACACCACCTGTTTGAGAGAATCAACAGATGAAATACAAAACAAGAAAGCACCTCCTTCTTAGTGAGAAAAGTGGTTTTCAGAAAAGCAAATGAACAATTTCAAAGCATTTTCTTATCTGAAGTGTCTTTTAGTCTGTTCAAATGGTAAAATCTCCAACCACTCCTTTAAATGTTAGAGGTACTAAGCCTTAGATAAGCCTCAGATATCAGATCCAGCTACCTTACTCTTCTAACAGTGTCAGATCTTGAAACAACTTGAATCAAATTTTGAATATGTTAATATTATTCAGCAACATGAGCATGGACATATTCCCACTTTCCTTTATACCTCTCCTCTCTTCCTGTGCTTTATTGGATTTATGTGTTTTGGGAGGAGAATATAATACTAATAATCATCTCAAAGAAAATCTGCTAAGACCACTTCCAGCTGATGCAGAGGTAGTTTGAGGTACAATGTGTGGCTTCAAAAGCAATCTGTATTGTAGGACAAGACTATTAAGTTCTGTTTTTTCGGGCCAGGGTTTTTCTGAGCCTTTAGAAGAGAACTTAATACCCAAAGGATAGCTTAGCTATTACCTTTGTAGGCAAATAATGAGCAGGATGGCTTCTGCTGCAGTGTTGGAAACAAAACTGTTTAATAAAAGGAAAAACAATAAACAGAAAATCCGATCCAGGTACAGCGGTCTGCTCCTGGTAAAACACCTTCACAAAAGCCTCGTGGGTTCTTTTGTCTTCTCTTTTTCTACCTGATGGCCCAGGCGGGATCTTTTGGCTCTCATCCAATTAGGTGACCCCAAGGTTTTACTGAAGTCTCTGGGGTCCTATAAGGTGTCTTTTCACCTGATCGTTGGGAGAAACTTCTGGGCTTTCTTCCTTTTTTGGAGGACAAAGGCTATTTTGTCCCTCTCTCATTGGGGGCATCCCCCTACACTCCTTCACAAGACCTTTCAGAGAGACCTGTAAACCCAGCTTTAGAATTGCCCTGCAATGTCATTTAGCTTCTCAGTAGCTCTCCAAGTCCTTGCAGAAATACAAAGATGATCAAAGGTACAGGATGGTATCAGCATGATGAGTGTATAATAGACCAGCTCTTTTCAGCCTGGGAAAAAAAAAAAAAAAAAAGATGAGTGAAGAAGTACATGACAGATGCCATCAGTGGCACATAAAAGATAAAAAGATAAGTCATTCGTTGTCTCTTTCAATGGAATGAAATATAAAGCAGGCAGATCGAAACTAAGCATGCATTTTCAAAGTGGAGAGTTAAAAAGAGTACTCCTTGCCACAGGCAGTTATGCAAACTTTTAGGAGTATTGAAAAGGCAATTGATGAAGTTGAAGATAATAATAAAATAAATAATTCACTGTGGGTTATTATGTAAAGGCACTTCTGCTGTTTAGAGGGACTCTAAACAGAAATTTCATCAAACTGGGAGAAAACACTCCAGAAAAAGATCATTGCTGATTTCTCCCACTCCTATATTTTATTTCATTTACCAAATATCGTGTAACACACCATGTTGTGTGTCAGAATACAAGGTTTCAGAATACAAACTTTAAATTTCTGCATAAAAATAAATTTAAAAAATCATATGACCAGTTCTGTGCTCCCTGACAAAAACCCAAAATAACAGCCTTCAACTTAGTGTGTCCCTGGACAAAAACTTGATCTTTTCATGTTCATACATTGTGCATGGATCAGTGTTATTTGTTAGCAGACAGGTAGATTCCTGCATTACAGCTGAAGTGACAATTCCATTAGCATTCAGAGCAGATACTTCTGGAATTGGCTGACAACAGAGTTCATGTTTATATGCATGGGATGCATTTACACTTATAACTATGTCATGATCTACAACATCAGCTAATGTGAAAATTATGCATTTAGGTTTAACACTGTGTAAATGCCAGATAGGGGAATGGAAAAGTCCATTTAGCTTTTTAAGTACAACCTCCAAAGGCAGTTTAGAATTTTTAGTTAGCAACTACAATATTAATTTTTTTGTTCTTTTATTATAGAAATAGGTAGAAAAAGCCATTTGACACTTTGAATACAATGAACAATTCCACCTGCTCTCCACTCCTTGCTTTTATTACAAAAGGCTGCATTTTTATTGCAAAGCTATTTACTACAAATAGCTTTACTATAACATCCTGTGTATCTTTGCTATTATAACAAGGATGTTCATGTCACTACATTAACCACCATTCCCTGACCCTGAAGGGTTGAAAGTCTTTCCAGGACAAAGTATTTTTCTTTGTACAGTAATTTTAAGTATAGTATTGCCTTGTAAGAAAGAAAAACATATTCCTCTGGGCTAGCTTGCCTCATCATAGTAAAAAGAATAAAAGTCCTAAAAAGCACACCAGCAAAGCAGTTTCTATCCTGATCTTAAAACATAACTCGTTATAGGAGTTTATCCATAGAATTATCAGAGTATGGGGTTTAAATAATTCTTTTAACCAATGCTGTCATCTGTAGAAGCTGAAAGAAAGAGCCAAAATGGCACACTCACAGGTTTGGCAGTGGCTAAAAAAACCGTGGGATTTCCATTTTTCAGGTGAGTACCTGCACAGAGAACCACGATTGTGATGCAGCTCCTCTCACTCATTAAAATCCATGTGTGAAGGAAACAAAACATCAATGTCTAAACCAATCTGTAAGCCAAAGTTTAAAATGGACATTGTGAGAGTATTTCTGAAATAAAAATAAGCTACAGTAGAAGTGTCTACTGCAGGATTAATAGTAAAGAATCTAGTACTCCAATGTCCTAAAGACTCTATTGGACATGAATGAAGCTGCAATTGAAGTGAAAATGTTTCTAGGAAGAGAAATGAGTAAGAAGTGTTCTGGCTAAGGCACCTCAGACAAAAAAGGGTCAAGGGAAACTCATCTGCCACCTGTGCCAGTCTCAGACATTGTGCCAAGTGCTCACCAGCAGAGTAAGATTGTTTTATTCTTAAATAAGTCTTAGTTTGGTTATGCTGAATAGTTTTTGTATCAATGTATCAAAATAATTGAATGTAGAATGTCTTGGTGTTTCACCATTATTCCCTCTGATGAGCACATCCCTTCAGGGACCCTACAATAACCTACTGCTGCTATCACCACTATTTTCACCTCTACCATTTACAGAAGTAAAAGTGGGTTTGGGTTATTTAGGCAAAAATCATGATTGTATAATCTCACAATTTCTCATCTGGAGGGGAAATCCAGCCCTCTACCAGCTGTGTGATGTACCTGATCCTTAGTTCATGGAACATGGATATTTATGGGAAAAAAAGAACCCTTTGTAGTAAAAAAAACCAAACAAACAAAAAAAAAAAAAAACCCACCAAAACTGAGCTGGTTTCTTAACTTCTAAGTCATATGATTTTTAACTTCAATACATGCAAATGAATACTTTTTGCAATATTTCTTCCAAAAACTCTGAAATTCCCTGGTTGCATGCACAGGCATCCTCAAGATAAATAAAACATATTTAGTTTATTTATCCCACATCTTTTATTTTCAGTTAATGGATAACAAATCCACACCTTTTTGTACTTACGTTAGTGCATAAATAAACAAAATAGTTCCTACTTAGAATTCCAATTCCTAGAGATTTAAAGAACTCCCTTCACAAATAACCTTGATTTGAAAGCAGTTAAATTCAACCTAGGGTTACAAAACATGCATTATTCATTTTCCCTATCACTGCTAAAAGTGATTTAATCTGTTTATAAAGGGGGAGTACAATTTTATTTAACTTTTCTTAACGACGATCCCTCTGCTGCAGAATGTTTTACCTTGAAATTTTCACCCTTGCCTCTCAAACAGAATCCAGAGAGAAAAAAAAATCTCCTCAGACATAACAGCATTCATATAACATTTATTCTTGGGCTTTATAATCATATTTTCTATCCGTTATAAATTTGTAATTAAGAAGCAATGAGCAAAACTTTTTTCAAGGTTTCATTTCTGCCCCAATTAACATTTTGGATTTTGCTTTGGGGTCTTCATTACAAACAAGTTGTCAAGCTAAATGATGTACCAAGTTATCTATATTTAGCAACCTATAATTTTAGCTTGTGTTTTACTGGTTGAAGACATGAGCAACTGACATCACTGCAGAAAACAGGAAAGAAGAATGAACTAATATTAAAATCCCCCAATAGCATGCATTAATCTTCTGTGATTAAAACCCTCTGCCTGGCCTTTCTTTGAAAAGACAAAGACTTCCAAACTGATTAAACCTAGAGGCAAGGCTGTTTTGCATATATCTTGTAAAAATCCCCAAGCTGCCCTAAACTTTAGTCTAAAATTTAGCTGCAATCATTTTTTTCTTAGATAGTCACATACTAGCTTGGAAGTCCTGCAATTTTATTCCTCAAAATCGGATAACCTGAGTCCAGTTTTCATAAATCAAAAGTGCATATCCATTTTACCTGATTTCATCAGATGTTCTAAAATTGTTCCAGAAAACAGGGCTCTGTTTATGCTACTGAGTTCAGTGAGCTTTACTGTTAGAAATCAGCCATGGCACACTTCTGCTCTGAGTGGACAACATCACACCAGGAGC